AGTCGACAGGCGGTTAGACGATAACCTGTTTGTTCTCACTCAGTGTATAGAAATATCTAAAATAGAGAATAGGCCCTTGTACGTGGCTTTTCTAGACATCACTGGGGCATACGACAACGTTAATCAGGAAATTTTGTGGGATATATTGAAAGGAATGGGCATGGGCGACGACTGTATACAGCTTTTGAGGGAGATATACCGAGAAAATACAGTTTGCATAGAGTGGGAAGGAATGCGTAGCAAAGAGAACGTTGAGGTTAGCAGGGGTCTGAGACAGGGATGTCCTTTGTCCCCGCTGTTATTCATGCTGTACATGGTGAGTATGGAAAAAGCGCTAGAAGGTAGCAACATTGGTTTTAATCTGTCACACAAACAGGGCGGCATGATGATTGAGCAGAAGCTTCCAGGTTTATTTTATGCGGACGATATCGTCTTATTTGCGGACAGTCGAGATGATATACAGCAGCTGGCGAATATATGCGGAAGGGAAGGTGAAGCTCTTGGACTAGGATTCAGTGTAACGAAGTGTGGTATTGATGGTATTCAATGATCCCTGTGATCAGACGGTGTCCATACAAGGCCAAGAAATACCGAGGGTAAGTGAATACAAGTACCTTGGAGTATGGGTAAATGAGAGTGATAGATACATGGAGGTACAGGAAAAAGCCTCGGCAGCAAAAGGAAAGAGGAATGCGGCAATAATGAAGCACAGAGCGTTGTGGGGATACAATAGGTATGAGGTGCTTCGAGGTCTGTGGAAGGGTGTAATGGTTCCAGGGCTTACTTTTGGGAACTCAGTGGTGTGCATGAGGGCAGAGGTGCAATCGGGAATGGATGTAAATCAAAGGACTGTGGGACGCCTCGCGTTGGGTGCTCACGGGAAGACGACAAACGAGGCTGTAAAGGGCGATATGGGGTGGGCAGGTTTTGAGGCGAGGGAAGCGCAGAGCAAAATAAGGTTCGAAGAAAGGCTAAGAAATATGAAGGAGAGTAGATGGGCAGAGAAGGTGTTCCGTTATTTGTATAGGAAGAGCGTGGACACACAGTGGAGAAAAAGAACTAGAAGACTCACTAGTAAATATACGGCTGGTATTGTAAGCCATATGTCAACAAAGAGCGTTAAGGGAAAAGTCAGGGAGGCGGAGAGGATTTACTGGATGGCAGCTATGGAGAAAAAACCGGCTTTGAGTAACTACCGAAAGGGCAAAAATGAAATAAGGAGGGAGGCATTTTACGATAATTCAAGGGGAAGCGCTTTACTGTTTGAAGCGAGATCGGGTTGCCTTAGAACGCGTAGTTATAAAGCAAGATTCAGTAAAGAAGAAGAACAATGCACATGCTGCGGGAAAGATAAGGAAACGGCGGAGCATGTTCTGATTGAATGTGGAGATATCCACCCAGGTTTACGTTTGGGCACGAGCCTACAGGAAGCCTTGGGTTTTAGGGACAACAATGGAAAGCTGAACACACCCGCGATTGAAATAAGTAAGAGACGGTTAGAGTATTGGTGGCAGAAAATTAGAGAGAAAGGACAAAAATAAATATTGGAAAAATAAAATATGGACAGTGTGCCGTAAATGGCAGAGAACTTAAGCTGAAAATTTACCTTTTTTTCCCATTAAGATAGAATTTATCGAAGTAGAGGCATTAGGCCAACATAAAAAAAGAAAAAGGGTTTTTTTTTTTCGAGCCTGGTGGCATACTTGTCACCACCCCGTTATAAAGGGGACGCTCATAGCATCCATCCATCCATGGTCAATTCCTCTTGAACCACGCTATCGTACGCTCCCTTGATATCCAAGAATGCTAGCCACGGGGGCCTGTGTTCCTTTTCTGCTATTTTGATGCACTGCGTCAGTGAGAACAGATTGTCTTCCAACCTCCTGTGTTTCCGAAACCCATTCTGCAGTTCCCCCAGCACCCCCTCATCTTCTATCCATGCCTGCAATCTTTCCTTTATAATCTGCATCGCCAGCCTGTAGACCACTGATGTCACTGTTATAGGACGGTAGTTGTTTATGTTAGCTTTGTCCCCCTTTCCTTTATAGATCATGCTCATCCTGCTAAGTTTCCATCCATCGGGAACTTCACCATCGATTGATGGATGGATGGATGGATGGATGAATATGGCTGTACCCCTTAGATCGGGCGGTGGCTAGCGCCACCAAGCCGTAACACCTAATGAACCAAAAACTATATTTATTTTTTTCCTTAATAAGTGAGTTTGAGGATTCGTACTTTGCAGTGAAGAGTTTAATTTTCACTCGTGCCTTGACTTTAGCCACCAATCAGATAACCTCCTTCTAGTTAAGTCTACTTGCTTGAAGTCTATTTTGCCCTCCCGGTCCCTAAACCCCAGTGCTTTGAAAAACTCTGCGCCATCATCCTGAACTATAGGGTGAAGCCCTTCATAGAACATTATCAAGTGTTCGGCAGTTTCGTCTTCCTCTCCACACGCACTGCATACTGTGTCTACCCCTTCGTATTCGGCCCGATATGTCTTGGTTTGCAGTACTCCCGTCCTGGCCTCAAACAGTAGAGAACTACCCCGAGTATTATCATAGATCCTTTCCTTGTCAATTTCCTGCTTAAAAGTTCGATAGATCTCTAGTGCGGACTTCTTAATCATGTCCATTCTCCACATGTCAGTCTCCGTTTCCTTCACTTTCTTCTTAACCGATAGTTCTTTTTGGTTTGGCCACCTGCTGTTTTCTAAGTATTTACCAGTCAACTTCCTGGTTCGCTTCCTCCATTTTGTATCGACATTCTTCATGTACAAGTAGCTGAAAACCTTCCTAGCCCAACGCTCTTCCCCCATTTCTCTCAATCGTTTCTCAAATTTTATCTTGCTGCTAGCTTCCCTGCCCTCAAATGATGTCCATCCCATATCACCTTGTACTCCCTGATTTGGTGTATTCCCGTGAGCTCCTAACTGCCTCTCTCAAAGCCTGCTTAGACTTCGGACCTAATGTCTTTATCAGCCTAATTGGAATGCCATCTGGGCCTGTTGATGTACTACCAGGAACCCTTTTCTCAGCCCTTTCCCACTCTTGTTGAGAAAATGGAGCCATTGCACCACTTGATTCACTCCAGTTAGTCCAAGTCCTTGTACTATTGTACAATAGTCTTGTACAATAGTCCTTGTACTATTGATAGTGTTGGTCGCGAGCGCCACAGCGCGGAGCTTGTTTAAAACTGAAGGCAGGCCAACTTCGCTGGGAGCGCGAGCCATTCCTCAGGCATCTTTCTAGAGGTGGCGTTGGCTCCACATATACTATATTTGGTATCACGCGACGTGAATAGAGGACGAAGGTAATCGACACATGCAAACATAATAATCATGACACGGAAGTCATGTGCGGCATCGTTTACCTCCACCTCGTAACGTAGTGTTGATTTTAAAGTGACGCATCAAGATTTCTCATTAGTGCTTCGCATATCATCGATTCCCTCTGTACTTAAGGTCTGGCAATCTTCTTCGTTTTTTTTGTGCCTATAGATTTAATTTCCAACAAAGTTGTATGCCTACTAGCTTAACAATTACCAACTAAAATTTTGTATAATAAATATGATAATAATACAGCCCCGTCACTCCCATAGGACATGTGAAGGGGGCCTATAGAAATGTTACATTGTGTTATACAAACACAGAGCAAGTAAGAAAAAAGAACAACTGACAAGACTACCGGCGTCGTTTACAAAATCCCATGCACCGAAGGCCCTTCTCCGTAAATTGGCGAGACAAAAAAAAAAAAAAAAAAACGTATCGGAACGACTCTGACAGCGCGCCAAGGATGTCCTGAAGCTGAAGGAAGAGTGCAGAGCAATCGCCAAATATTGCGAGACGTTCGACAAGATAAATGTCAACCATACAACCATCGTGGAAAGAGGGACTAACTGGAGTGGAGTAGGACTACTGAGTCGTGGCATATTCAGAGAACGGCCCAAAACATTTAGTGTTCCCTCGGTACCCTTCCCCCCAGTGTATGACTCCGCTCAAATGCAAAACATCGTTAACCGCCACGCAGTGCTTTCAAGACGCCGCTGCAGCATTCCCGTGGTCGCCCTGTCGGAAGAACCAAGTCGGTTACGATGCGTCCGGTTTTTACGTGGTTTCACGTATTTTACATTCGTTGGAGTTAAAATATTTTTTTTTCTCAGTTGCGGCCCGCGATCCTACCCCTATAAAACGGGGGTGGAATCCTTCAGGACCCCAATAAAAGCTTTTCATCCATCCATCCATCTCAGTTCACCTACCTTCTGTCTAATGCCTAAATTTAAAGGCTCCCTTTGCTCAGTCTCTAATAATCAAGGCGAGCCGGGGCGTGAGAGGGCCAGGTGCTCGCTCGCCCTCAAAACACGTTTTCCGAGGGACACGTCAAGCCCTTCCTTGGACTATGTCTCCAAGTTCAGGGATCGTTGAACACATTCGGGTATTTCGGTGACGGGACCGCAAGCAGCACGCGCAAGTTCTTGGGGCCTTGTGTTATTCGTATATCTATTGGGGAGGCTGAGATTACAAAGGAACACTTGACTTCTTAATTCAAAAATTCTTTACCAATGTAACTTCTTGCCTATTCGATAACAATATAGCCCAAAAATAGGCACATAGCCAAAGAGGAAGTTTCAACGCCCCTCGAACAAAAAGTAGCCCAATTTGGCTATTATTAGCTTGATCTGGTAACGCTGGACATGACTTTTTTTTTTTTCGATTTTCGTAATTCCTTTCTCAACTCGTGCAATGTAGCCTGCATTGACTTCGAGGTTTTCGCACAGCGTTCTGTCGTCATTGATTATTTTAACAAACTGAAAAAAATTACTAGTTGTAATAAAAATAAAATTTAAATTTGGCTCAATTGCTATTGAAAGTGTTGTGCATGGCATTGGAAACTACTTTCAAAGGTTAGATTTGGGCACGACTTGACAACACCCTCGCCATCGCTACTTTCAATCCAACGCGAGCCGGTCCGGTTTGTATCCGCTTTCCGCGAGCCACAAAATCTACGAACGCGCGCTTGGCGCGAGCGTTCTTGAGAAAGAAGAAATGATCCTTTGAGTCGCGTCGCTCGTTTTTGTACTCCTGCTGCTGCAGCCTTCGCCTGTGTCAATGGACGAAAACTCTTTTTTGAACGATACCAACCTGTCATCGCTGCACACTTCTGAACCACAAGCAACGTCGACAGTTCTCCCTGAACAACGGTAAAGTGACCACTGAAAGTACACCTTGCGTTTAGACTGTCGTCAGCCACCCATTGTGTAAAGCCTGAAACTGTTATGTAACTGTGCCGAAAAGCGTTAACAAGCAGATTGTCTTTAAAATACGTCCTGGAAAGTGTAAACGAGAGGTACATGCTTCTTATAACAGTGTGTGGTAAAACCTGAGTTAGGTCGTTTAGAGATGAGATGTGCGAAGGGCCCAAGCGGTAAACGTCAGTGCACTCTCTTGCAGTGATGCTTATGCGGGTGACAGCTCACAATTTTTCACGAGTATGAAAGGGACTGAGACGCTAGGGTTCATATATACCGCTACACATTTTTACAACTACAGGGGTAACGTTCAGCACGTCAGCCTGGCACTGTCAATATCAAACCAGTTGCTTATATTGCTGCAGTGGACTAGAGCTTGCTGTGCTCGCCGCTGTCCCGTTCGCTTTCTGGGTTCCCGATTATCTCGCTTTAGTGAATAAAAATAGGCCGATATTTAACTCCCAAAAATGCAGGGCATGTTTTCTCGCTTCGCACGGCAGCAGGGTCATATTTGTGCGCTACTTTTGAATAATGGTCTTCGGTGATGCCTTTGAATGTTGACCGACTCTTCCCCGCATGTTTAACTCACCCCGGCACACAGAAACGCTTCTTGACTCACCGCCGCCTTCAATGCAGCGCAAACGCGCTGCCTTGAGGTGATGACAAGACGTTCAAGTCAAGGAGCACTTCTGATACACGGGTTAGGCTTATAATTAGCCCGGCACGGGCGACCAAGCCAGCGTCTTCCTTGGTTAGGGCCGTGTGCTCAGATTTGGGTGCACGTTAAAGAACCCCAGGTGGTCTAAATTTCCGGAGCCCTCCACTACGGCGTCTCTCATAATCATATAGTGGTTTTGGGACGTTAAACCCCACATATCAATCAGCGTCTTCCTTGGTAGGGCGAAAGAGTGAAACCGGACTTACTGTCCATTGAGTAAAATACACAATGGAAATTTTCCCCTGTTGTGATCGCAATTTGTAATCGTGCTTATGTTAGGCTCACTCCATCAGCATGCTACATATTTTGAGCCAAATGTAGCCTCTAATTTGATCTGCTTAGGTAGGCCACTCAAGGCAGTAGTGCCTGTTGTCGGAAGGTACAAGCAAATATATGCAATTCAGAGGGTGGCTTGCTAGGCTTGTTGGTTTTGCATCTTAGAACGGTTACAGGTGTGTGATACGAGGATAGAGTTAACTAGAAACAAGACCGAGGGCTGTCTTTGTTTCTTCACTCTGTCCCTTGCCTTTGTTTCTTCACTGTGTTCCTGTCTGTGTGTGCTCTAACCCTTTCAGATGCTTTGTACACAATTGGGTACATTACTTGTTTGTGCTAGTTGTGTCAACTAGGGGCTAAGAAAATGCAAGATACACTGAGGTATAGGTGAAATTAACCTCCTCCTTAATAAACATATCTTCATTTAACTGTAGTTTTTGCCGTATTATTGCATATAACTTTTTTGAAGGCACTATCATAGTCGATGAGTCGTGTTCTTGTCTGTGTGCGTAACCTTTGTAAGATAAGTGCAGTGATTAAATCGCCATGCCAATTGTGCCAAGAGGCAAAAATATCAGCACTGAGTATGTGCCAATGCATGTCTTTTGTAGTCTTTCACAGAAAAAGCGTCTGGCACCTAAAATTCATATTTTAAACATTCCTTTGCGAACTGCAAGCACCTTTGGCGTCTGTCTGCGTATCTATAATCTATCTAGCCGCTTACGTCCAAGTGCTCTCGTGATCACCTCCATCGCTTGGCGTGAACTAAAACTGGTATCGGTGGGTAAGCTTGGTCGAGGAATATTATGCTCTGGTTAAGACATGAAGAATATTCAATCCCGTCGCGTATGTTGTCAAACACCTCCGGGCAGACAGGAGCACCCGCGGCTGGGTATGTGTCACTGGTATGTGCCACAGGAGATTGACACTTGGTATCTACCCAGAAACGACAAAAGCACACATGGGCAATTTCAAAGCCTGAGTGTTAGGGTCCCAGCATGAATCGAATACCAGCACTCTGCGTGGCAATCGAGTATCCTACCACAGAGGCACGCCAGGTCTCAGAACTACTTTTCAAATAAATCATAATGTTCATAAAATGTCAATTGCTGTTGCAGTGTAGGCTATTCAGTTTTATAAACGTTTCATATGCCCTCATTATACAGCCGTCATGTCGCGCTAGCGTCAATTGTAGTCAGGTGCCATGTGCTGAAGTTGATTTATGTAGCAATGTCTAGGGCTACCACCTTTGCGAGCTCCAGCGCTTCATGTCAGGTTATCGCTTCTGGTGTTGCTAGTACTCATGTTCCTATTGGCATCGCTGTGCATGTGGGAAGAACTGGTTATATACATGTGCATGTGTGTAGAACTTGTCCTATATAAACGTTGGTAACTGTTCAACATATGTCTGTGCATGCAGCATTCATACATATATTTAGCATGATTTCATGACGTGTTGCTCAATAAAAAACTGAAACACTGTGCCTTTCCCTCTGCATGATTCGCATAATGTTGATTGCCAAGGTACGTGGGATATGTTGAATTTTTCAAGTAACCACTGTAATTTTGAGTGGTCATGCAAGCAGACAGGTGAGAGCTACGTTGTTGAAGAAATCCTAAAGGGCAATAACCGCATTCTCAGATTATTTGATTGAGTGTATAATGATGAGTAAATGAGTTGTCATCTCTTATGGATTGAGCTTCACATAATATTCATACGTAGTTACCATTCACGCTCTGATACTGCCTTCTGCAAGCAACTTGCTCAGCTACAAGACAATGCTCACAGCATCTCGTAGATGGTGACCTAAGCATCCTAGCGCATGCCCTGATGTAAATTGAGCTGACATTATTTTAAGGATAAAGAGTGCTCGGGGAGCATTTGCTTTGCACAAATAGCTCGCAGCATACAAAACCATGTGCGCTTGCAGCTTTGCATGACAGTTTTGATAAAAGAGCAAATGTTTCTGGCTTGTAGTGACCAAGGAGATGATGGTGCCTTGGATGTGAGAGATGAGAGCTGAAGTTGCCATGTATTGAGAAAGTCATGCAGTATTAATAATGGCGTTGTGTCTATACACAAGAACTTTATTTCAGCAGTCTACAAAATTTGCATGGTTCAGTCGGCTTAAGTCAGGTACGAGGAGCCGTCCAGATGCACCCATGCTAAACAAATTCAAGTACTTCATAATGTGTAAATAAAGTTTTCTACTGTTACAATACCACACTGCAAATATACATTAGGTCAGTGAAATAGCTTGCAATTTCTATGGAGTCGCACAGAAGTAATACTAGTGTAGTGGAGCACACGCACCAACGCGTATGCGCCTTCGGAAGATAACGAAAAGCCCCGTGCTCTGATTAAGCGACAGCCTGTGCCGCCTTTGCCAGACTTGCCGTACGGCCATTTTTTTGTTGCAACCTTTTTGCAACTTCTCTGCTCGAATAAACATCATCACACTTGGTGGAGGCTGCTGAGATCCCCAAGCAGACCTGGAACTACGCTTTTGCAAGTTGGCCGAGAGACCACCGTGAAACACAGTCGCCAACCAGCCCAGCCAGCACCATCGGCTGCCTCGGCGCTACCCGCCAATGGGACCCACCAATCTTCAGCGGCAGTGGTGAGCAAGACGTCAAAGACTGGTGCTCCTTGTACGAACGCGTAAGTGCCAGCAACAAGTGGGACGACAACTCTAAGCTCGCCTACGTTATCTTTTACTTGGAAGACGTAGCTAAGCTTTGGTATACCAACCGCCATCGCCAACTGGTCCTCCTTTAAGACCCTCGTGATTGAAGCGTTCGGCCGACCAGAGGTCCGCAAGCTCCGCGCTGACCAGCGTCTACACCACCGAGCCCAGCAACCTGGCGAGACGTTTACTAGTTACATTGAGGATGTGCTCGACCTCTGCAGGCGTGTTAACCTATCTATGCCTGAAGAAGAGAAAATTCGGCAGATTCTCAAGGGCATAGAGGATGGCGCATTCCAGATGTTGCTAGTGAAAAGTTGCTTGCCCGACCACGGTGGCAATCCTCGTAAGCCTGTGCCAGAGCTTCGATGAATTGCGCCGTCAGCGTTCCATCGCCCGACAGAGTGTCCCACCACCAGATTCGATCTCGGCCGTCGCACTCGCAAATGCCAACGTTCGCCAAGAAAGTCTGCCCAACCAGATCAAAGACTTCATCAGAGAGGAAGTCGCCCGACAGCTCTCCCTGCTGCCGTATAGCGACGTGCCCACCGCAAGCCTGCCTTCGACACTTCAGCAGGCCATGCACTGAAATTTGCAATGTCCTCCCTACAGTGCCGGCCCCTTACCCATGCACTTCAGTAGCACCTGATCTCTCAACTGTCGGCTACGCACCACCTGTGCCATCTTCATCTCTCAGCTACGCAGTTGTAGTCGCGCGGCCCCCACCGCATACAGTCTCCTTATCGGCTCCACCTCCTCCGGCCTTGCCTTCGGTATACAGGCCCCCACCTCGCTTTTTCCGTCCTTCTAATGAGTGGCGCACCCGTGACAGCCGTCCTATCTGGTTCGCGTGTGGAATCGCTGGCCACGTTGCACGCTGCTGCCGCGCCGTCCCACACCTGCGTGCGCTTCCTTTGGAACTCCTACCTACGCGTCGCAGCAGGCCAGCGTGTCTGCATATGAACAGAGGCACTCCGACTCGGATCGTCGCACATCAACTGCTCGTTTCCCATCCCCTCGTCGCCGATCGCTATTGCCTATGCGTTGTCGACCACCTCTTGAAGAGGGAAACTAATCAGTGCTTTTCCGGAGGCAAGAACTGCAACTTAAGCGCAATTATCAAGGCCTCCATTTTCGCCGCAAAATGTTGTTGATGTCGATGTAGAGGGAGTCGCCACACTAGCGTTTATTGATACTGGGGCCGCCGTTTCTGTGATGAACGCAAAATTTTGTCGCAAACTGAAGAAAGTGACCACATCTCTTTGTGGCAT